ACTATTTATAAAAATACTAATAATAAAAATAATAAATAAAATAATAAGATAAAATAATTGAAACTCATTTTATAACACTATTAATAAATTCTTAGATTTTGTAATATGTTATAATAAACTCTATTTATTTCTAGAAACATATTTTTGTAAATTAAGTTATATTAAATTAATTTAAAATTAGAAATATAATATAATAGTAAATAAATAAATCTTAATAAAATATATGAACAGAGAACTTGTATATTAGAAATTTCAAATTAATGAAGTAGTATAATATTTTTATAGATTATAACTAGTTATTAGCAAAATACTAGAAAAGAATTAGATTAACTAACTAGTAGAGAACTATAACTAGAATCTGGAATTATATAACTTCTATAAAGATCTAAATTAGATGAATCTGTAAAATGAATATATAACTACTCTAATAGAAATTACTTCTAAGGTTAACTATTTCTATTGACTTACCTCATATATTGATATCTATTAAAATGTAAATAAACTCTTTTTGTATAGTAGTTCAAATAATACTTATAACAATTCTTAAATAGTTTTTATATTACTTAATCCTCTAATATATATACAATTAGACTTTTAAATTAATATTATATATTATAGTATTGTTAAATTTGCAAAAACATTTACTTTTCTGAAATAACTTTTGCCAAATCATTAAGTTATTTAAATTTATTATTAATTTCGTATATAAAAAGTATTTTAAGTTATTTGAAAATTATTTGCAACTTTTTTTAGATCGTTAACACTGTGTATACCAAACAATAATAGAGTATCAAAATTTTTGTTTTCAACTAATAAACAAGTGTGCAAAAAGTTTTAATTTTAAAGTTATTTATCTTAAAACCGATTTTGTACGCAAATTTGCCTGAAAATTTTATCTGTGATCGAACAATCAAACCACTGGATTTCAAATTCTTAATATGATACTATTATAATTAAAAGATAAAACCCGAAGTAAAAGTAGGTTTACCATCGAGAATATTAATAAAATTATTATTTGATTATAACCAATTATCATTTTAAACAATCAGACAAAACATTAAATCGATATAGACTTTTTATTGTTCTTTAATTATTATGAGCAATACAAAAATATAATTTACTCATATGTCACTATTTTGTCCCATTGATCAATCTTCAGGCCACTTTCAATGAATTTAAATATTTCATCCAGGAATTTCTCAGTTGATCCACCTAACCATGGTAACAATTTTTGAACAATTTCATCTTTAGATTTCCATTGTTGATAATAAGTAATTATTACAGATTGTACGTGTTCTTCAATTATCTGATCATGAGTATCTGAAAGAATAGCTTTCAAATCGCGTGAAATAAAAGGTCGTATTCGATCTAAATTATGATTATGAGAATGGTTTTTACATTGAGGTATATTTTTTGCCAAGAGATTATTATTGTAAATTCTTGTACGATCCACTATTTCTTCAGAAGAAGATTGATCATTTAATTTAGACTTTCTATTATGAAAATGACCTTTTGAATGTCCATTTGAAATATCCATAATCCATTTTTTACGTTT